GTGAGAACAAACCTGTGAGGACCGCAACTCGAATACGCGACATGGAGGTTTCTGACAAGTGAGTGATTGCCTAATTCGGCCAAAGCTACATCTCTACATTATCTGTCCATGGTGCAGGTCCGTTTGTCCGTTTGTCCGTTTGTCTACAAAGTAAAGTGGGGTATGTACAGTAGTGTAACATGCGGTATGATGAGATGCGAATGAAGGGATGGGCTGAATAGCCAGCCGATGAGGGTATGCAATACAAGTCCAATTCTAAGCCGAGTCGAGATTGTGTGATGCTCCATGTAAGGGCGAGTCCGTATACCGCGCCGGAGACCCTGGTGGGGCATGCAGCGCCGCGCCCTCCGGCGTTGGTAGCGTCGAGTGCACCGCCCCGTAATACGCCGGGCTCAGCTGCGGCGGGACGTACCCCCCATAGGGTGAGTACTCCGCGCCGTAGTGCTGCTGGTCGTATGCGACCTGCTGCGCGTTCGCCGGGTGCGCGGCGAAGCTGTCCATGCTGATTTCCGAGGGGTGCTGCGAGGAGCGGTTTGATGGCGGGGCCATGAAGGGCGCGTGCGGGGCGACGCGCGGCTCGTCCTCGGCGTACCATGGGTCCTCTTTCCCCATCGCCGCCCGCGAGAGGCCCTTGCGCCGGTTGTTCGCGTTCCGTCGGCGGACGATGAATAGTATCTGGTGAGATACATCTCAGTAAAGAGCGATGGGGATGGGTGAGAGAGAGAACGCACAGCGAGGAGTGCTAACGCCGCTGCGCCCGAGGCGGCTCCAATAGCAGCCTTCGTCCCCGTCGACATAGTAGACTTGGTCGTCGCGTCGTTATTGTTGCTCGACGACGAGGAGCCGGAGCCCGACGACGAGCTCGAGTTGGCGCCGGTCGTCGTACTGGAGCTGGGCACCGCGGCGTGTGCGGCCTTGATCAAATCCGCCGCACGCTCCGCGACACCGTATGCCGTCGCCATCGTGTGGGCTAACACCACCGTAAGCACTCTGTCTGACCTCCGCAAAACAAAGCGACGCACCAGACACCGACATCGGCACAACCGACACATCCACGACGCGCAGGTTCGTCGTTCCATACACCACGAGCTTGGTGTCCACCACCCCGCCGTACGCGAGCGGCAGCATCGAGTTCGTCCTAAGCCGCAGTGTCAGCCGTGAGATACTCTTGAAAGCACGCAACACATACCCAGTCGGGTGATACTCCGTCCCGGAGTTCTTCGCAATATACGCATCGATATCGGCGTCCGCAGTCGTCCCCGACCCAGGCGACGTCTCGCCCGCAATCATATCCGCCATCGGCTGCGTCTTGATGATATTCCGGATGTACTTGAACGCAGCGCGCATGATATCGCGGTCGTACGAGACGGAGAGGTAGTTCGGGTTGATGTCGGGCGGGTCGAACGCAGAGGCGGAGGTGGCCTTGACGTACCCCCGCGAGAAGGCGTGCTGGATGCAGAACTGGATCCCGATGGCCCCGGCGGTGCCGCCGAACATGTTGAAGCTGCAGGCAGAGAAGCCAAATCAGCCTCTGAGGAAATAGGACGGAGGAAGGAAGGCAAGAGGAAGACGCACATGAGCTCCACCTGCCCAGTCGACGCCGCGGCCCACTGGGACAGTATCGCGTACTGCGCCTTGACGCCCGCAGCGACGGTCGGATCCATCGCCGCAGCATCCGTCGACGTCGCCAGCGCCCCCGTCAAGTCGAGCCCCGAGACCCAACCTGGCGCGGCGTCGCCCATGAGATTCGCGATGGTGGGGTACGCCACGGCCTCGTTCATGTACGTCCACATGCCCGTGCCGTTCTGGCGCCAGATGGCCAGCTGGTCGTCCCAGAGCGGCTGCTCCTTGAGCGCGGCCCACGTGTCGTTGTCTGTCGCCTGCATGTAGAGCGGGCTAGAAACTATGTGCGAAACGTAAGCGCGCGTAGCACAGAGCGAAGGGAGAGCGTACGATGATCCTGGAGATTGGCGCCCACGCCCGGCAGGTCTACGACACTCTGAATTCCGAGTCCAGTCACAAGAGCCTTGGGACCAACACCCGAGAGCTGAAGGATCTGTGGCGATCCGACCGTTCCGCCCCTGCGCACAAATAAGTAACATGATGATCAAGGAGAGAAATCAGGACGCACGAAAGAATAACCTCCTTCGCCGCATTCACAGTATACACCTGGCCACCCGCGTTCGCCGCAAACGACACGCCCCCCGCCACCGCCGCCCCGCCCGTCGTCGCATTCCAATTCACCTTCGTCACCTGGTACCCGGTCAGAATAACGAGATTCGTCCCCGCGTACGGCGCGATGTAGCCAAAGTTCGAGTCGGAGCGGGTGCCGTTCTTGGGGTTGATGATGGAGGGCACCCAGGACACGCCGACGTTGTCGCCGTTCGCGGGGTCGAGCGTGTGCGGGAGGCCCATCGCGACCATGGTCGGCACCCAGGTCGCGAGGTGCGAAAACTGGTAGGCGCTGTGGCTCGCCTGGATAGGCCCGGTCGTGCCGTGCGCGGTGGGGTCGTGCGTGACGGAATACGTCGCCGCGTCCGCGTCGTTCATGGGCGTAAACGTCTCCGACTACGCCCAAAACTCGTGAGTACGACAAATACCGGGGAGGTCGGTTATGCATACCTTTTTGATAGAAGTCTGCATCATGTTCCAGCCCCAATCTTCCGCGCCGGAGGCGCCATTCTGCAGCGTGTTCCAGGCATCGTAGTCGGCGGAGCTGCCTCGACACCAGAACATGCCGTTGGTCGCGGAGGACCCACCCAGGCCCTTACCCCGCGGCCAACTGAGCGCGCCCCCGCCCGCATTTGTTTGTGCCGTGGTTTTATATTGCCAGTCGTAGTCGGTCCCTTGCAGGCCCTTGAGATATGACATTCCTGCAGAGCAAAATAAGGTCAATACGTGCTCGTAATCGCAGAGCATAGACGGCGAAAGACATACCAGGGATGGTGATCTGGTCCTGGTACTGCGTTCCGTCGCTGCCGGCCTCGATGACCGCAACGGTGATGTTGGTCCATTCTGCGAGTCGGGCAGCCAAGGCAAGGCCAGCGGTCCCCCCGCCGACGATAACGAAGTCAAAAGTCTTGCCGGATAGCTGAGTGGGGTCTGTGGTGGATCGCTTCTGCGGAGACGCGTGGATGCACGCGACGGCCGCAGCGAGGACCAGTAGTTGTAGAGAGGTTTGGGGTGGTTGATGAAGCATTAATTGAGGGGGTGGAAACGTCGTGCCGCCAGATTATATAGGGAAGGAAAGTCGTAGAACCAGATGGACTGCAGAGGTTTGGAGGGAGGCTTAACTAGGCCGGACCTAGACCGGCCTCATTGCCTAGAATAAAGATTAGCCGGAAAAACACAGCCCTCCCGCAACCTCCCGTACCTACGGCACATATCCACGCAATCCCACGCGGCGCCTTGGTAAAGAATTGCGGCGGGGACGCAACGCCGTTGAGGGAACGAAACATACTTCTCCCAGCGGAAAGGCATCATCGCATCATCGGAGGTGGTTACTCGTCTCTTTTTTCCATGTCTTGTGCCAGGAGGGAGGATGACTGGCAGTAGGTGAACGGCTCTGTCGATCCATCAAACATCCCGACTTGTGTTCTCAATTGGGCTTGCTGGAACATGACGATGCTAGAGACTTAGAGCCTGGACCGCGCCTGGGACCTTCAAGACCGACGGTGAGGATACACTTGAATGATTTCGGTGGACAGCGTCGGGGCGACTCGGAAAGCTGTCCTGCCGCCTGACGCCTGACGGCGAGTGGACATGTGGAATAGAGCAAAGAGGGAGCATGGGAGCAACATGGACGACTGGCGACAGCCGCCGTTCCAAACACGGACAAAGCTTCCCACGCCCCTGTTCTCTCTTTCTACTGCCTTCTCAGCTCAATTGGACAACGTCTGCTGTCGTCCGACCTATATCCTCAATACAACGCCTCTACTCACTCGTCACATTGTTGCCATGCTGATCTTCTCTCTTCAGCTCGTCCGACAATGCCCTTTTGAAAATAACGCCGAATGTGAGTAGTTCCCTTCCTTCCTTGTGGAACCGACACAACATCTTAACTTGGGGCTTATCCACCACATGCTCGATGCTCCGACATCGAAAATCCTCCAACGTATGGGCGCCGCGCAGGTACGTTATCACTTCAGGGTATTTTAGCGGTGCGAGTTATTTTATTAATGAAATCGATCCAAGCGTGGCCTCCGCAGGACGGCCCACCATCGGTGAACGCCATCGGTGCGACTCCGGGATGTAAGCCTTTGACCATTTTGACAATAAGGATAATATCTCATTCGAGTCAAGTTTTCAACCAGTCGACGAACAGCTTCCGCAGGACGCCCTTGAAGTCGCAAACCGACTTTGCTTCCCCACTCCTCGTGTACAGACTACACACCTAACCCGCTCCCCGCGCAAGTCTCCAACAAACCCCAGCCTCGGCGCCAACCTCTCGTTCCGCGGATCGCACTCGTCGATAATCCATTACAGAAAGTGCGCAAAGGTCAGGTCTAGTACCGCGCGACCTTTTGGGATGATTCGCGGTGGGTGAGGCGCTGTCACGGTGCATTGGGCGCTTGGCAGGGCGGTGGTAAGAATCCTGACAGGTTCAACGGCGGGGTTTTTTGAGTTGGGCGGGGCTGGCGTTCGAGAGCGTTCGACTCTCGAGTCGTCCGGACCTGCCAGTGTCCGATCGGAGGTGCGCCCCGGCCAATGTCAACAGTGTGTCGGCGGGTTACCATGTTTACAGCCACGGCGATCCGTCTAATATTAATGCTGTTGTTGAAAGAATCGCGACAGGTGCATAGGTTGAATGTTGCGAATGAATACCGCCACCAGAATTTTCGGTATATGCTCAGTGTCGAATGCGGTGCCAGCTGCAGACTTGCAGTTCAAGATCACCAGCGGAAAGAAGGAAAAAATGAAACACCGCATTGGATGAGGCAGAATCCGTACTGTGTCCCTCGCGGAAGCAGGGCCGAAGCCGAGGTCCCGGCAACCCCTTGTGCTACCTGAGGGAATCGAACCCTCAGCTCCGCTTCCGTGTTTTTGCACGGAAGCGGGTGTATTGCCACTGTACCATAGTAGACACACGAGTTGGTGTGTTCTGTGCATGTTCCCGCCATCTCGTGTCCACCAACACTTTCCGCCCGAGGCGGCACCGATCGTGATAACTTTCGGCTGAATCCACTGCTTGAATTTACATTGAACAGTTCGCACCTCAGAAAGCCAAAGCGACAATTGATTCCCCATGGAGCAGAATACGCGAGCGCGCCAAATGCCGGTGCACATCAGGTTCCTCAACACTCACACCTGCGCACACCTTCCATGTTCCCCACTCGACTCGTACTCCTCCTTATGGTCGCAAAGCAGATTCCACCACGACAAACATTACGGGTTCTGTTCTCGCATTGAGGCTTAATTAACGCCAGCAGTCGGGCTGATCATCGTCTGCTAAACACGGTTGAAACGGACCCTCGCTCGACGCCACCGTAACAGTAAAGCAATCTTTCAGCATTAACGCCCGAATAAGACACGGCTCCAATCCCGCTAAGCACCAACATCACCACATTTCCGGGCTTTCCGTGACCCATTCCTCGTTCCATCCAGTGCATCCCTGTGCATCCCATGTGCACGCTGCACAGAACTCACGGATATGCGTTTCCCGACAAACCAGCATCGCATCGAGGAGGGGATTTGCATGATGGGCAAGTGATCCGGGGCCATCAGACCCGAATGATCCTCGATTCTCTCCCGCCTCCCTCGCAGCGCCGTCCTTAATTGTCCGACCGATATCAAGCGCATCAAGGCGTACCTCGCGACCTTGTTCTTTGTGGCGCCGATGATATCTCACTGAAAGGTATAAGAGGAGACCGTATTCATTCTGAATGTTCTCATTCCACTTCTCTTCTCGACCCGGTGTCCCCTTCCACTTGACGTGTTTCTTCCATTTTCCGATTTTATTCATCCACATTCCTCAACTTTCCCAATGGCCCGTATCCTGTTCGCCGTCCTTTCCAGCCTGTTCATCCTCCAGAGTCTCGCTGGTAAGCCGGATTTGTCTCGTGACACACAAATTCAAATTCTCATCATCCCCGCCCAGCCCCCCTCCCCCGCAGCACCTTCTCCTGCTCCGCTAACGGCACCGCCGTCGCCCGCATCATCGGCAGCGACGTCCTCCTCGTCCAGCGCCTAGTCGAGGAGCTCAACGTGTACGCCCCATTTCCACCCTCCTCGCGGAAGGAATCCTAATAGATCGTCCAGCACCACCCTCGCCGACAGCACCCCGCTCCCCATCGTCCAGTCCTCCCTCGCCGACGCCGCCACTCCGGCGGACGCAATCGGCAACGTCCTCCTCTTCCCAACCCTTCCGCAACCGCCGAGTGATGCCACCGCCGTCATCCTCAGCAGCCTGCAGGACGCCATGACCACCTTCGCGACAGTGTACGTCTCGTTTCATTCGTTCAGCTTTAACTGGGGGACTCGTGTTGACGAGTTGTCGTATAGTCAGACCATTAATAAAGCGGGGACCAAGAAGCTGGCAGAGACGAGGAAGTTTTTGACGAAGGCGATCAGCGACGCGCAGATCTTGGATTCGGAGTGTACAAGCGCCTGAGTTATATATATGTAGCGCTGTTGAAACGATTGTCCAATGGGAAAAAGCAAATTGACGTGGTCTCGTAAGCAGTAAGCTCGTTTGGGAGCTGCTTAGAGCCTCAGGGAAATTCAATCATTCAACTTCCCACGGTTTCGATTGCCTTCTCACGGTTTGATCCTGACGACAGAGGTGGCGCAATACCTTGTGTCGCCCGACACCGGCCCCAGCTCGACGACTACCCCCCAAACCGAGTCCCGTTGTGGAGACTATGGTCACACACCTCGCGACAAGATTTAGATAATCACCACATATCTCAAGGTATTCTCACCGAGGCGAGCTGGATTACTGTATAGCAAGATCTGGCTAGAAGCGGTAGAAAGCAGGTCAAAATGGATCGAGACTGAAGCTTGAACGAAGTGAGCAAGATAAGTCGCGAAGGGACTACAATAGGATAAGAAGTACTGAGTACTCTGGGTCAAGGCTTTGTGTAGAATTTAATCCTGCAGTTGCAGCAGTAAATTGAGACAGATATGCATTCACAAGCAGAACGGAGAAAATAATGGACCAACCCGGCGTTTAGACCTTCACGAGTTCAACTCCTGGCAAAGCAAGGGTGTCAAAATTGCGCCGAAGTCCGGTAGGTGACTGGGATGAACTTGCGCAATAAATGGCCAGCAGAGGAGAGCAGGACAACTTGTCGGAGCTCAAATGCTGGATGCAGAATATTACCCGATTATGGAAGATATACACGGAACACTCAACACACTCTACTGGCGAATCCATGACAAACAGGCAGCAGGATAAACCGATAATCTACACCTACACGCTGGCGAAACAACGCCGGGCATATTCGGGAATAATGAGCAAGGCGATGGAACGAACACAGCGCAGGCACATACTTTAATTCACGGACCCTTAAACCCAAAGAAGCTTTCCGACAAGTCAACCTGTGATTCAAACGCGGCATCCAGGCCTTCCTCCCTCATCTTGCGGAGACAATCCACGACGGCCTTGGGCACACGCGCGCGTGTCGATGCATCCCATACCCGGAACGCGCGCACAAAGACCAAGGGGGAGGGCGTGGCCTCGTACCAGCGCGACGCCGCCATCTCGACGAACGCGGTGACTCCAAACGCAGAGGGCCCGCCCGCGGCGAGGTGCGTGAGGTTCGGACACACCTGTACCAGGCCGTCCCGAATCCTGAGCGCGTCGACTAGCGGGCGTGTCTTAGCGCTCAGAATACCCGGGGCGAATTCTACGAACAGGGTCGTAAGGGTCGGGAGGAACTGCAGGACTTGGGCGAGGTCGTTCGGCTCGGAGCAGCGGTGGACGACGAGCGTGGTGAGTTGGCACGAGGAACGCTCCACGCATCGAGGGAGATTTGCAACTGCGTCACCCCAGACCCAGAGGCCTTGGAGGTTTGGGACTGTAAGATGGTTCCGGATGTCGGAGTCGCCCACGCTATGGACGCTCAGATAGCGAAGGTGTGGATGTACGACGTCAAAATTGTCGCCTCCTTCGGTGTGGAAGGAAATCGAAAATTTGACCAGCTTCGGCGCAGCTTTCAAGACCTTGAGGGCCTCACCCTGGGACCGAAGCGCCCCGCGAAACCGGGTGAGCTGCGAAAACGGCAGGCGGAGATGGTCAAAGGATAGCAGGGACAAGTAGTAACCGGCGGCAGGGATGGTGACGTCGCGCAGGTGGGGGGTGATGGAAAATGTGTCGCTGGGGAAGTAAGTCGAGCTGTCGGACACGAACTCCAGTCTCAGCAATGTGTCAAGCCGACCTTTGACCGGGCGCAGAAGCGGGAGAATGCGGGCGGCCAGGAGGGGCCCGGGCTGCAAGATCAGTCGGAGAGTTGCCCATCGATTAGAGTGGGCAACACAAAGCTCTATCGAGTTGCGGAGATCGTCCTTCACTTCTCCCTCCTGGCAGTCAATCGTGACTGTGAGCGCAGAAGTGCCCGACCGAAGTAATTGAATCTCGACCATCTCCGCTGGACATGTTTCCGTCGCGGTTTCGCTGGACGCCATAGTGATCGAGGACCATAGTCGAGTGTTCGCGAGAGCGATAGCTCGCCACGACTGGCAAACGTGGCCGAGCCGCCACGGCGCTGTCTCCACCGTCTTTCCGGCCAAAGAGCGGGTCTGAGGCGTCTGGAAGAATATCTCGCACATGATCTCCACTGGCAACCGATGAGCCGGGGTAAGGACCTCCAGCTCCTCAATCCGCCGTTCGGTGGCACGGAGTTGGCCTACGCGAGTGCGTTCGGACGCGATTTTCTGCTCGAGCGCAGCCGCCTCGACCTCTGAGTCCAGAGGCATGTTTTCCATGCCGCTGCAAAAAAGAAGTGACTGTGAGCAGGATTTGCAGTGAATCCAGTATCTGGCGCCTCATACCTCGTGTTATCAGGCGAACAGCTCGGGTTGAATCGCCTGGGTCAAGCCTCTTGCAAGGCGCGGGCGCTCCGGGTCGAGCTGATGGGAGGTGAGTCATTCCTGTCACTCGGAAAACGCCGCCAGAAGTCCCACGTTTGCGCTTCCCTCTCCGTCGACCCAGTAGCGGCCCAGCGGAGTCTCTAGCCATGAACGTTGCGCCAAGGGGCGAGAGCTCAATTTGTTGGTCTCGAACAGAAGGGAAACTCCACAAGCACTTGAAAAGTAGCAGGTTTGCGTCCTGGGAACAAGGACCGTTACGAGGTTAAACGAAGTCACTAATGGGCGGTCCACAGTGCTAGCTGAGCTACCCATTTATTCGCAGGCGGGAAACGTACCGATGATAACTTACTCGACTGGTTTTTTGGTGGCAGGTACTGCGTCCCATACTCTTGCAATTTGGACGAGCCTACCAGCTATGTCCCCGATTTTTTCACGTCGGGCTCGATTCTCCAATAGCGGCACCAACGGCAATAATTTCACTGGATTCCCACGACACATATCACGGGCGGCGACGGAGGTGCGGTACATATCCTCCCCGGCTCAGACTATAGTCCTCATAAGCTTACCTCCATCTACCCATGGTTTCTCGTCGCCGCTTCCCCGCCCGGTTCCGTTTCTTAGGAGCAACCACGCCGCACGGGCTGGTGAAATGAATGGAAGAATCCAGTCAAGATTATCAATGACTCGGAGGTGTCGCGACGAAACGTTTTGGGGCCGCTGGCGGGTAATTGATTTTCTGCCTCTCCCTCCATCTGGCGCCGCCACCGACATTGATACAGACTTGACGGACAGCCCCGGCGATCCTATTGAAACGTTTTTGGCACAGGCTGGTCAGGGACATGAGCGTACCCACTTCCAAACCGGATGATCGACACCAGCATAGCCATACACAAGAAGCCCGCCCGGTCGGCGAGGGATCGCCGACTTCTTTTGGTACCTCATGCTCACTCGGCGCCTAACATGACATCCACCGCGGCATCCTCCTCCGTTGCCTCAGGTATCAATATCTATGACTGCTTTCGGCCTCCAATGTCCTTTGCCTTTGACCTTGGC